TCCCTTCTACACCTCGTGGTCAGACAGGCTGGGGTACTTCTTTCATGTGGGCTTTGATGCTTCTCAGCTAGATGGCCGCTTGTTTATCTTCAAGCCTTTAAGACCCCAGATGCTAATCTTTTGATAGCCTTGCACCGTCAGCTTTCTTCACCACATTTGCTTATACACACATTTTTCTTCAGTAATCATGTCGGGAAGGTGTGCATCCTGGAATGCCAATTTAATAGAACAACGTGTTCTTGCATTGAGTAAGTGCTTGAGTGAAGGCCCAATGTCCATCTGCTGCCTTAATACTAAGCCTATAAATATATGCACATAGATCTGTTTCCCCACACTCTTATATAAATATATTTACATATGTACATTCCGGTCTTTAGACCTCTAAAAATACCCTTTGTCACCTAGTTCTTCCTCTATTTCCTTGTACTTTCTTCTTGTCCCACTATCATGCTCAGCCTTCATTTGGGTTTCATTAATTTCTCTCAATTACCTTGCCCTTGCTGAATCCCTACCAGGCCTCTCACACCCTCCTTGCCACAGATTTTTGGATCGCTTATTGTTCCCCTGTCCCTGGGTTGGTCAGCACCACCTCCTTACCCCCAACTCCCCCTCTCCTGTGTCCCCCCGGAACCATTAGTTCAGTTGTTTTCTCCTCCAGACTATTCATCCAGTCTATCTTATCTAGATAGATCTGTAAAAAAGAGTTTTAAATCAACGATTCATTAAGAAAATGTCCCACACCAGTTCAGATCAAGTCTATAAGTTCAATATTAGCCTATAGTCCAGTAATAGTCATAAATCCTTCTTCAGACACACTCAGTTACATGCAATGATGCCAAATGCAAAATACAAGCTAGTGGGTGCAAAGTCTTGTGGACCTAATGCTGGTGGATGCATCTCCAGGGCTCTGGCTGCCATCAGCATGACTCCATGTGGCTTATCAACAGGAAGATGAAGCAGAGTGTGTGGCCCACCTCCAGGGAGAAGAAGAGTTAAGTTCCCAGAATCCTCATAAGGCCACATCCACAAGGAGGCATCTTCAGGCTGTGACTAGATTGGCAGGCTAAACTTCACCCCTTCACTCTATTTATCAAGTTGACATGAAATTATGTAACTACCACAGTATCTTAAGTACTGTATATACTAGTGTATAAGCTGAGTTTTCCAGCACATTTTAAATGCAACTTTTGTGGTAAAATTACGGGGGGAAAAATAAGGAAAAAATGTGGGGGGTGAGTAAATCAAGAGCTGATGCCAGGGGCTTAAGTGGAGAGCAAATGTTTTGAGAATGATGAGGGCAATGAATGTACAAATGTGCTTTGCACAACACAAAATCTGCAAGCCAGACAGTAGGCTGCAAGCTCACATTCTGAGATCAGAGGCCAAGGATGATGAGCCTGGATCAAGAGAGAAGTATAATCAAAACACTCCTATATAAGGGAACTTCAAAAAATTCCATGATCTTTTCATTCTATTTTCCCACAAACTTCTTGAAGCCGCTTCATGTATTGGATTCAGGCCACCCCCCAAGGAAACTCCTCAAGTAATTGACTGCCCACATTAGATCACAAATGAAAGATGATTTCAGAATATCTTTAAGTCACTGAGAATTATGGTCTTGCTGTTACCACATAATCTTAATCACCATACCCTACTATGCTTGTGACCACCCTCCACTCAAAAGCCGTATATCTACTTGCTTTTTAAAGATTATTCTTAATGTCTCTTGACACTTTGGGTCTAGCAATATTTCTGTCTGCATGCCCCCTCCCTTCTCTTACTCTTTGAAATTTTACTCATCTTTCATTTACTGAATTTTTACTATCAAATGAAAAAAATAAATAAAATCATGTATTACACACACAGAAAAAAATGTGCTTTGCACAACTGATGTATGTATGGATTGTGATAAGAGTTGTATGAGCCGCTAATAAAATGATTTTAAAAAAACTACGGTAGGTGCCTCTGCTGATATTCAGGTCGGCTTATACTTGATTATATACAGTACATTCCTTTTCTTTGTAGGTAGTATCTTCTCTTGACATCTCATAAATTATTTATCCAGTCACATAAGTTGTTGGATATCAAGCTTATTTCTAATTACTGGCTGTTGTAGTTGTTGCTAAGTGTTGATGAGTTGTTTCCGATTCATAGCAACCCTATATACAATAGAATTAAACACTGCCCAGTCCTGCACCATCATCACAACTGTTTGAGGCCACTGTCGGTCCATATCCTCTCTTTTGCTGCCCTTCCATGTTATCAAGCATGATGTTCTCCAGTGATTAGTCTCTCCTGATAACATATCCAAAGAACGTGAGATGAATTCTTGCCATATTTGCTTTTAAGGAACACCCTGGTTGTACTTTTTCTAAGAGAGACTTGTTTGTTCTTTTGGCAGTATATGGTACTTTCAACATTCTTTGCCAGCATTGTAATGCAAATGGATCAATTCTTCTCTGGTATTCCTTATTCAGGGTCCAACTTTCACATGCATATGAGGCAATGAAAAATACCATGGTTTGGGTTAGGCGCAGCTTAGTGTTCAAAGTGACATCCTTTGTCTATATTTAGTACTTGCTTTCAATTGATCTTTTCATCTGTGTTTATAATTTGCTATTAATCCCATTCAATTATATTGTATATTTATTATAAGAATTTCCATTTGGATTTTTTTAATACATTCTATAAATAGTTAGTCTTGGAAATTCAGAGGTAGTTGTAGCCTAACCTATTATGAGTCTGCAGCAACTTAATGGCAGTGAGTGTTTTTAAGGCCATTTCCTTCATTGTTTGGGTTTTCTTTGACATTCTTGAACATATAGGTAGGATTTAATAGTAGATATTTTAAGGTCTTTGCTAATTGTCATTTCTGGATCTGTTTCTATAGATTGTGTTTTTTCTAAGTTATGAGTCAAGTGTTTCTGCTTTCTTGCAATGTCTAATAATTTTTTTTACTTAAAGTTGGACAATGATTTTACTCTGTTGAGTGTTTCATTTTGTTGTATTCCTTTAAAGAGGGCTAGTTTTTCTCTAGCATCCAGTTAAGTTACTTACACATCAGTTTGATACTCATAAATTGCTTTTAAGCTTGGTTAAGCTCTTTCTCTTACGGCTAATGTAATTCTAGTAGAGCATAACCTTTTCTGGAGACACTTTGGCCAGAATGAACATTAACACTTATGTGGTGGTTAAGTCATCATTTGTCAATTTGAGGATTAAGAGCGTTGGGGTGGAATCTAGTCTGTCAATCATTGTATAGCCAATGAGGCCTCTGTGTAGACAAGGCCTTCTCTTGAGAATTCTGGGAAGTCCTCTATTTCCTCCTTGGAGGCCTGAGAAACCTCTCTCTCCGCTCATTCCCTGAGACAATGCTCTACTGATAAGACACATGGCATTATGCCCTGGGAGCTGGAGAAGCCACGTGGACCTATCCTGATGCAACCAGGTCTGTGGAGCCAGAGAAGCCATGTAAAGACCCCTGCCAACGCTCAGATGCTTACAATGACACTAGATCCACAAGACTTCCAACCCCCTGGCATGTAATCTGCCTGCATTCGGCATCATTGCATGTTTTGTGAGTCTGAAGAGACTTTATAGATTGGTATCAGATATTTGGGCTAATACAGGATTTATGGACGTGATCTGGACTGGGCTGGAATGTTTTCTTAATATACATTTACTCTTTGATATAAATCACTCTCTTACATATATCTGAGTGCCCTGGATTTGTTTCTCTAATCAACCCAGACTAACAAATTATTAGACCCATATTTGAAGAACTGTCTAGCCTAATATGTTTTGGGTTCTTTCCCTATCTGTATAGATTGGTACACACCAAAGACTCAAGTGGACCTCCTTACACATTCCTGAAGCTCTCTTTCTTTTAAGGATCTTTTCAGATACCATGTCCTATAATTCCTATCCATGTTGAGTACCCTAAATTTCAACTACCCACTTCTCAATTCAGCAAGACACTACTGGGTTGTTTGCTTTCTTTCTTTGTAAACTTTAGAAATTACTTCTAGGCCAAAATCTATGGCTGCCCACACATTATCTTTTTTATAAAAATTACAGTTCTGTACATAGAAACAGTTGTGTATTATATTTGCCAGGTGTTTTATGGTTGTTTATGGTGAGGGGGCAGTCTCCAGTACAAGTTATTCAAAGACACAAGCAGAAATTCCAAATGTCCTCCTTTATTTTTGTCTACTTGTAATCTAATTCTTTTCAGTTGTATACAAGCTAGGTCAGACATGCCATCCTTACCTTTGTAGATTTCTCTGTTGGTTCATCATACTGTGCTTGCTGCATAACATCACTAACTATCATCTTAGCAATCTTCCAAGCTAATTCTTCTTGTGCCTAAAAGAAATTATTAAAAATGTTGATAACAATTATTTAAAAGGGGACTTAAATGTAATTGTATATACATATAATTTATTTGAATTAGAAGTACCTTTCCAGATATGGGCTACTTTCTAATATGATATATTAACATGTCATCTGCAGTCTTCCAGTGTCATGTATTGGGTACCCTGTACTGTGATCATTTTCATACTGGACAGTCAAAATACAACTTTTCTTCTTTCCATTCTTACCCTCCATAACATATAGTGCTACTTGGGTTGTCACACACAATCCATTCCAATTCATGTTTGAACACCAAAAAGCTCAAGACGTGAACATGTTTTTCCCATAAAATGTAATGGAAAACCAAATAATTGGTTCTGGTTCCCCAAAATTACACTTATAAATTCACTATAGAGGCTTTGAGTCTTCTTGCATATCACTGTTCTCACCATTGAGTTGTTTCTGATTTATCCAAATTTACAGTAGCTTTTCAACCTCTTTGATGGCCTGGGTTCTTTGCTTTGTGGTTAAGATTTCACACTTTTTGCTATATTGGCTGCTTTAATCACTTTCCTTTTTTCCTCAAAAATGTTGATAATCTCAGCTTAGCCATGCTGTATTCAGCCACCAAATCAGACATTGGAGACCCGATTCGACTTTCAAAGCGATTTCTTTAACTCTATCGTGGTTCTCACAGGTTGTTTTTCACTGCTGGCAGCAGCATCGACTTTCTTTGGAGTCATGATTACGATGTGTTAGGCAAATAAGGAAACTAGCACAGTGACTAATGTTTTAAGGTACTGACACAAGAACTATATGTTGTCTGAACAAAAGAGATGCTTAGACTGAAGTGTTACCATTTATGTCTGAGGTGAGACCCCACAAGTGACTCACTGTGACCCATATAGGTTTTTTCAAGTTGGATTTTCAATTCAACTATCAAGCAAAGTTATGCACACTGAGTAAATTTTTTTCAAACTTTGCTGTTCAAGTAGGGGAAAGTTCAAGTTTGGAGCTACTGGCAACCAAGGTAAATTTAAGAATTTTAAAAAGCAAGCTTCTAATTTAGCAAAGTAAAACTGATGGAAGGATGAAACATTTGTTTTTTCCCCACCGACAATGATTACTGATGATTGTTTGTTGATTGAAACAATGATACATGGATATCCTTTAGAGGTTAGTTGCTGGACTGAAGTTATTTCCACTGCTATCGCAGATAATTGTTAGGTGCCAAAATAGGCTTCCCTTTCTTGTAAAATCCTGAATAAGGGATCACTAATAAACCACCATGTTTGAAAATGAGTAATAATGACAGAGGAAATGTGGTCCTTAGTAAAGGTACTTTTTTTTCTTTTAAATATCATTTTAATGGGGGCTCATACATCTCTCAACACAATCCATCCATCCATCCATCCATGTGTCAAGCACATTTGTACATTTGTTGCCATCACCATTCTCAAAACATTTTCTTTCTACTTGAGCCCTTAGTATCAGCTCATTTTTCCCCTCCCTCCTTGCTGCCCACCCGACAAACCCTGGATAATTTATAAATTATTATATTGTCATGTCTTACATGTCTGATGTCTCCCTTCCCACTTTTCTGTTGTCCATCGCCCAGGGAGAGGGTTATATGTAGATCCTTGTGATTGGTTCCTCCTTGCTACCCCTCCTTCCCCTTCCCCTCCTGATATTGCCACTCTCATTATTGCTCCTGAGGGGTTTATCTGTCCTGGATTCCCTGTGTTTCCAGTTCTTATCTGTCCCAGTGTACATCCTCTGGTCTAGCTGGATTTGTAAGGTAGAATTGGGATCATGATAGTGGGGAGGAGGAAGCATTAAAGAACTAGCGGAAGTTGTATATTTCATCACTGGTATACTGCACTCTGACTGGCTTGTCTCCTGCCTACAACCCTTCTGTAAGGGGATGTCCAGTTGCCTACAGATGGGCTTTGGGTCTCCACTTCACACTCCCTCTCATTCACAATGATATGGTTTTTTTGTTATTTGATGCCTAATATCTGATCCCATCTATACCTCATGATCACACAGTGCTTCTTCCATGTGCGCTTTGTTGCTTCTCAGCTAGATGATTGCTTGTTTCTTCAAGCCTTTAAGATCCCAGACACTATATCTTTTGATAGCCAGGCAGCATCAGCTTTCTTTACCACATTTGCTTATGCGCCCCTTATCTTTAGCAATGGTGTCGGGAAGGTGAGCATACAGAGTAGCAAAGGTATTTTTTAAGTAAAATTTACCTCATCAGTATTTCCTTGCACCCATTTCTTCATAGCTTGTGAGAACATGAATCCTAATAAACAAAACCAAAATCGAACAGTGGTTACACAATTACATTTTAAATGCTCTTACTTATAAGTTGTTATTTTCAAATATAGGGATTCTTTTCTGGCACAATTCCATCTAAAACATTAAGAAATATTACCAATAATTAAAAATTGATCATAGTGCCTCTGCAACAGACTAAATAAAGTTGTAAATGCATTTTGTTTTAATTTTATTATGGTTAATATATACTAAAAGTTTACAATGTTATCAGTTTTTAAGTGTATAATTTGGTAAATTTAACTACAGTCACTATGTTGTGCTACCTGAAAACCTTTTGAAAAGCTGTTTTAGAGTTCTGGAATTTTCTTCTACTCCCCTTTTTTCGAAGTGGAAGGTAAGCATTTATTGATAATAATTTAATTAGTAATTTAATTATTGTCGAGAATGTATGAAGTACATATAACAATTAAACAGTATCTATATGTGTAATTCAGTAGCACTGATTACATTCTTCAAGTGTGCAATCATTTTCAGCCTCCTTTTCGAGTTATTTCTTCCCATTAACATAAACTTACATCCTTCTAAGTTTAGGAATTTGCTGTTTCAGTTTAATCTCAAGTAGATAGGTCTTAAATGAACACAGTGCTCAAGGCAGACATTCTTAACTACTTAAACTAAAAAACAATTTGGTTTTAAGATGAGTTCAGAGGATAGCTTTGGTTTAAAGTTTAAAGATTATCACAGGGTAATAATTTCAGGGGTTCATCTAGGTTCTATAACTCCAGAATATGGAATCAATGAGAATTTGAAGTTCTAGTCTATATTTCCCCTTTTTGATTAGGATTCTTCTACAGAAGTTTTGAATAAAATGTTTAGTAATGGTAGCCTGCGCATCATCTAATTCTGTACTCAGGGTAAAGGAGGCGGTATTTATGAAGGAAATTAACAACATATTCCATTTCTTCCTTCTATTCTTAAGTACTTCTATTTTCCCTTGCCTTGAATGGCTGCTTGTAAGCTTTTAAGACCCAGCAACCATAAAATGAACTAGCAGGTAAATGACAAAATACTGGCTAACTGGGATGACCCATAAAACCATGAGATTACACTTCGAAACCAAAGAAGCAAATCCCATAAGGTCTTTTGCTATAATCAGCCTCAGCAGCTACTCTTTTTTTATTGTCCTCATTGTAGTCTTATTGCATTTTGTTGTTAATAGATGTATTTATCACACTACTTTTACCAATTCGGTTTTTTAGAGGTGTGCAGCTAATTGATTGTATTAATTATTGAGCTTATTAATTACCTTAATCGGGTGTGCAATAGTACCTTTAATCAATGCAATACACTTGTGGCATTACAATATTTATCCTTTTGTGATCGACTTATTTCATTTAGCATGTTTCCAGCTCTATGTAGGTTATAGCATAAAGACTTTCTCTTAATGGCTCCATGGTATTTAATTGTATGTACATACCTATTTTTTTATGCACTCATCTGGTACTCTTCTTTGATTAGAAAAATTACCATCTACTGTTAGATTTGCAGGAAAGATTAAAGAACAACAAAACTATGACCAGGATATTAGACTTGGATAAGAACACATCAGGAGAAATCAATCCATTTATTATGTATCCAAACTTTCAGATCAGTTTCTGTACAAAAGTATTTTTAGAAAAGAATATGGGCTTATGAGTTGTATCTCTGGTCATATAAACTAGCTATATGAGAACAGAATTTTTAAAAGCTGCCCAAGATACAGAGCACTTCAACTTCAACACAAAGCTACTGGCAACGGTACTTAGATCCTGAGGGATTAACAGAGAAGTAGTCCAGTCTCTATTTTAAAAATAAGAGACAGCTTTCCCTTTCATTGGTCCACAAAGGCTCACTTGCTTAAACCAAGCAAATTATTGTTGGGTGATTATTTATTGAGGAAAAGTCCGGATTAATCCTTAAAACAGAACAACAAATAGCATTCATGAAAAATATAAAACCTCAGTTTTAATTATTTGCAAACTGTTTGAATATTGGTCTAGTCAAATGTTATGGCTGAATCAACACAATTGCTCTGTGCCTAAAGTCTAAACTGGCTGTTGACTCACCCAACATATTACACTCTCTTCAAGCTCAACTACAGTGTCCATTATTGACGATCTCCTATTTGCTGAGATGCCCTTCTTCTCCTCTACTACCCACTTCTCTGACTCCACCTTGTCCAATCACACTCTTTTAACCTGGAAGTTCTTGAGGATACCCTGCCCAGCTTTCTGTTTTCTTCAACATTTCCTATTTGAGCACTTCATTTTCTTGTGCTTTAACTTCTTTCAACACACAAATCACACAAAAGCTCCTCTTTGGGTCCCAAAGCCATAATTCCAAATTGCCCAAACCTATCTCAAACAAAACATGTTGTAAATTGAGCTCATGTCAGTTTCCTGCCTAGTTTCCTTTTATATTAGTTAATCCACAAATATCCAAGCAGTAAACTATGTTAAAAAGCTTTTTTTTTTCTTCATTTACTCATTTTTTCTCCATGTTAAATATCCCCAAATTTCACCTTGAAATTCAATCTCTTTAATTCAATCTGGGAAGTCTCACCTTCCTTCTTAACCCAGCTACCACTACTTAAATTCAAATCCTCTCATCCATCCATCTACATGAGTAGATCATTCTACTGCCTAACTTAGTTTCCCTAAGTTCAGTTCCTCTCCAACTGTAATTCATTCCCGTAAGAATTTGTGTAGAACTAATCTAGCTAGTATTTTGTTTAGAAATCCATGATATCTACATAAGAGTTAATGGTCCTTAATATGACATACAGAGAATTTACAGTGAGAAACTTCCACTATAGGGATCACATTTTCAAAACATCATTTTTCACAATCCTTTTTCTAACTTCTCCATATTAATTTAAAAAATTACAGTCATTGGCCTGAAATGAAAGTTTTCATAATATCAGAAGCCTCTGAGATACATCCTTCTCAAGACTCAACCCTTTCATTATTACTTTATTGCTAGGGTTTAAAAACATAAAACTTAAATTGCGGGTTGTTTAAAGGTAGACATTCTTTCTAGCTGCTCTCCGGAAGGATGAGGAAGACAGAAAGGGGAGTTGAATGGCAACAAATTATCAAGACAGTAATCTGAACCAATGCTCATAGCATTATTAATATGTTAAACTTCTAAAATCTTTATCTCTATTATTTTGGGATTTGTGCTAACGAATTTCCATTGCTTTGGGGCAAATGATTTATTTTTCTAAGAAAAAAAATCTGAATTTTAAAACCTTATGTCTGTGTCAATGTATATTAACTGAATTTTAAAATATGATAATTTTCTAAAATAAAATAAAATAAATACAACCCATAACCTTAACATCAAGATAACAGATTGTGGCATTTTAAGAGAGCAAGCGTCTCAAAAGAGATGAGAAATAGACTAAAAACAAGAATGTGAATAAACAAGATAATTTTAGATTGTGAATAAGAAAATAAATAAATAAATGACAGTAATATAGATGACTTCAGATCATGTGAGCTGGAAAGGTTTTTCTGAAAACAAAGTATCTGAGAAAAGAAGTAGCCTGTCATTTCATGAAAGCCATGACAGGAGTTTCATGGAGGAGAAACAGCAATTGTAGAGGCTGGGGAAAAAAAAAAAAAAGACACAAGGAACTTCAGACAAAGAAAATAAAGAGCACATTTATATGTTAGGGAAGATTAACTCAGAGTAAAATTAAAAAGGCAACAGGGACATTTATACATCACAGCAGAGCATCTATATCTTATTTTAAGTGCAATAGGAGAATGAATGAATGGATGATTAAGTAGCAAGGGTAAGAAATATATATTTTAAAAACAGAGCAAAAAGAGGTATAGTGAAAAGTAAAAAGTAGTTTTCCATTCTTAAAAAACTCTTACTTTTTAAAATGTATCCTTCCTTTCAAGTAACATTTTGATAAAGATAACTATAGATAGCCCTTTAAAAAACCATACACATCACCCATGATAGAGTCAAATAAAATGTTTAACTCAAGTCATCAAGAATTTAACATAGGGGGAAGGAGGGAAAAAACAGGAGCTGATACTCAAGGCTCAACAGAAAGTAAATGTCTAGAAAATAATGTTGGCAACTTATATACATACAGGCTTGAAACAATTGATGTATGGATTGTAATAAGAGGTGCAAGAGCCCCAAATAAAATGACCTTTTAATAAAATAAATAAAGACAAGCCTTCAAGGGAAAAAAATAAATATAATTTCTAGTTTGCCAGAAATATAAGAACAAAGGAATAAGTTAAATAACACAATTAAAAATATCAGGAAGGGTAAACGGGGTAATATCAAAAAAACCTGGTTGATGTTCAACCATTTCAAGAGGTAGTATGTAGTCAAGGACCCATGGTACTGAAGGAATAAGTCAAGCTGCACTGAGTCATTGGTAGGGAAAAAAAGGTCTCCAGGAATTGACAGAATACCACCTGAAATATTTTCAACAAATTGATGCAGCTCAAGAAGTACTCTCTAGTGTATGTCAAGAAATTTGGAAAATAGTGCTTGCCAATTGACTGAGATAGATCCGTATTTGGGCCCACTCCAAAGAAAAGTGATCCAACAAAATATGGAAATTCTCAAACAATATCATTAACGTCATATGCAAATAAGATTTTGCTGAAGGTAATTAAAAACAAACAACCAGTTGCAGCAGTAGATTGACAGAAAGCTGCCCTAAATTCATGCCAGATTCAGAAGAGGATGTGACATAGGGATAGCACTGCTAATGTCAGATCGATCTTACCTAGAAGCAGAGAATACCAAAAAGATGTTTACTTGTGTTTTATTGACTATGTAAATATCTGGAACATAATAAACTATGGATAACACTGAGAAGAGCAAGAATTCTAGAATACTTAATTGTGCTCACTTGGAATCTGAACATAAAGCAAGAGACAGACAGACATGCCAACAGAAAATGAGAATACTGCATAGTTTCAAATCAGGAAAGGTGTTTGAAGAAGAATGCAGCATCAGGATTGGAGGAGGGCTCAGTTAACAATCTGCAATCTGCAGGTGACATAATTCTGCTTGCTGAAAGGTCTTGAAGCCCTTGCTGATGAAGATTAAAGATGAATAATAATCCTTCAGTAAGAATTACAACTCAATGCGAAAGAAATAAAAATGCTCATAACTGGTTAAGTTAACAACATAAGACTATATAAGAGCATTGTTTCTCTTTTCCTCTTAGACCTCTACATTCTATTTTCCAAACACCTATCAGAGTAATCTATTTAAAATAGAAAGCAGAACATGTCAATTTACTTCTCCAATTTCTAATGAAATCCCAACACTATAAAAGTTCTTACACATTGTTGTCTGGTAACCATATTTACTTTCTACAATCCACCCCTTTGTTTACTCCACACCAGTCACAGCAGTCTTGCTATTCGGTGATCATGCAGTGCTCTCCAGCTTCAGGGCTTTATTCTTATTCCTTTTGCCAAAATGCCTTTCCTGTAGATATTGCTGGAGCTTACTCCCCTGGTTTGCTCCAATCTTTATTTAATGCTTTAATAAAGATTTTCCTGATAACCATCTCTAAACTTTACTTTTTCAAGAAAGTTCTTTAACTTGCTTTATATGTATGAGTGTGTGTATTTACTCTTTACTGTCTCCTGTAGTATAAAGTGTACTGGTTTCCAAAATCCTATGCAAACCAATAAGGTCTAGGAGTACAAGAGTTTTGCTTTCTTTCCAGTATTTTTAACAGTAGATCCATTAAGTAGGCATTCAAATATTTTTCTAAGATGAATGAATAACATGAAAAGACTGAATGAATACAATAAACATAGTGCGTGTGGTCTTTCTTTTATACTATTTACTCATAAAATAGTTTCATTCATATAAAACAAACAGAGCAAATAAGTATTTAATACATATTCTCTGGAAAAATAATATTTCTACATTATCTGTTAGATAGCTAAGACCAACTGAAAAAAAGTGCTTAGATATTTCCTGTTAATTCTGTGTCTGCTATTAGGAAGACCTTGTTATACTATTTGATGACACTTTAGAGTCCTTCCTGATCAATATCACATATAGGTCACCTAAGCAAGGCCATCAATAATCTTGTCCTAGTAGTCATATTTTATATACTGAAAAACACAGAACCACTGCTGTTTTCAGATGGCAAGATCTGTATCTTTCTAACCCAGAAGCTGGCAAACTTTTAAGACGAAAGGACCAATCCTGTCACAACAATTTAAAAATTATTTGACAGCCTAAAATATATATATTTTATGAACAAATAAAATCATAATTATCTGAAAATGAAACTATGAATGTTTTATCTTCATTTTCAATTATTACTTCAGAGCCATATAAAAAACTCACTGCCATCAAGTAATTGATAACCAATTCTGATCATAGTTACCTACCTCACTGTTGGTTTCCAAGACTGTAACTATTTATCCTGTGGAGTGGCTAGTGGTTTTGAACTACCGACGATGGAGATCCCAGCCCAAAGTTTAACCACTACACCACCAAAGCTCCTATATACATCCTAAAGAGTCCATATGGTTTAAGAGCCACAGTTTTCCAACCTCTATTGTAATCTGTCCAGGAATGGTAGAGCACACAGGCATGCTAAAATTACTTACTGAAGAAAGTACTACACAGAATACCCTTTATCCATCTGTGCAGCCAAGACTTCTTTGGCAAAATAGGAATTGAAATAAATTATTGGAATATAGTAGTAAAGGCAGTGGATGACTGCTCCTTTTTTTAGTTCAAATTATTATTGTTACATTTTAAAAAACTACTCTAAGTATTATCTGATCAAAGAGTGGATAATTTATAGTAGTATACAATTCACTATTTAAGCAACAGGTATATTTTTAAAAATTAGGAACGTAGTCCTATAAAACTCCACAGGAAGATTAAGGTAATAAGAATTTTCAAGTTCAAACACATTTGTCAAAATAAAGCATTTTCTTCTCACAGAAAGTTACTATTTTTCACTCAGGACAATACTGTCAACCCAACCACATAAAAAGTGTACTGGTTTCCAAAATCCTATGCAAACCAATAATTTTGAAGCTGAAATAAGTCACAAAGAATGTACTTTGTAAAGTATGAATATAATTCTTCTAAATAACCAAGCATTTTTGCTGCTTAAACAAGGTAAAATTTGTATTTAATCTAACTTGATATTTTTCACAACAGACACTTCAAAAATCTAGGAAATTTCCTAAAAGGTCTTAAGATAAATCTTGATTCAAACTAAATTGGCTATTTTGTCATGATATTAAAAGGTAGGCAATACGTTTTCTTTTTTTTTCTTTTAATCATTTTATTAGGGGCTCATACAACTCTTATCACAATCTATACACACATCAATTGTGTAAAGCGCATTTGTACATTCATTGCCCTCATCATTCTCAAACTTTTTCATGTGGTGTATCTCCTGTAAAAATAGAGAAAGTTTAGTAACTTGGCCAGAGGAAGAGATTCTATGCAAATGTGATTATATGAAGTCCTTGTATTCACTTGTGGCAATAAAAGGGTGAAAAATACGGTGGTTATTTCAAACACCAAAAAACCTCAAAGAACTTAGTGTAAATTTTAAATGACTCTACACATAAAATAGATAACTAATGTGAGTGAAGGCCTAGTATATAAAGCATGAAAATACCACAAACCTTTTGATTTCTTTACATCAGGTTCAGGTTCAGATTCTCGGATGAACTGCCCCAGATCACTGACTCTTCCAAATGACATTTTCCTAAATAAGGATGAAACAAAGAATATAATTTTTAACACTTAGAATTATATTCAGAAGTGGGGAGGGAAGGACTATTTAAAGCATATCTTATCTAGATTTGAAGAGGTAAAAACATAATTTAAACCTGTCCTTTATCATTTAAAATGTGGTAAATTTTAAATAGAACACACAGAATGCCAAATAACCTTTCAAGTTCATGAAATTCCATTCAAAATTCCAAAAATGTTTATGAAAGACAAATTAATACATAATTCACAATTCTAAAATCCATACATAGAAGGCACAAGAATAATCAAGACAATTTTGTAAATAAAGAGCAACAAGTAGGAATTGGTCTAACAATGGTCAAAATGTATTTTAAAGCTACAGAATAAAAAGGTACAAAACTCCACTGTCATTGAGTCAATTCCAACTCATAGTAATCCTACGGGGCACAGATGAACTAGTCAACAGGGGTTTCAAGACTGTAAATCTTTCTGAGAGCAAAGAGCCTCATCTGTCTCCAGGAGAGCAACTTGTTTGAACTGATAACCTTGTTTAGCAGTCCAACAATTAAACCACTGTACCACTAGAGCGCCTTTTAATTTTAATGGGTAGACAAATATGAATAGACAAATTCAAATCAATGGTTTAAGAGATAAATCTCAAAAGTATTAGTATAAAAGAAGCTATCACACAAACAACTACACATTGCATGATTCCATTCATGTGAAATTCTATAATAGGCAAAACCCACCATGAGAGAAACTGAAGATGTTGGCTTCCATAAAGATTTATAGTCTCATATACACAGTCTATACAGAGTCTATATAGAGTCACTGTAAGTCGGAACTGACTTATTGGCAGTGGGTTTGGGTTTGGTTTACAGTAATGAAAGCCAGGAGTATAAGATTGACTGGCACGAGGGAATTATTTTGGGTAATGAAAATGTGCTATTATCATTATATAGTAATGTTCTATTATCATTATTTTCAATATATACCATTTTGTATATATTTATGAAAGTTCATTGAAATTATACATTAAAATTAATCAATGGTACAACAATTATCTCAAAACAAATCAACAATATTTTAAGAAACCAATGAAATAGAACAAAAACTTTGAAAGATGATGTTAACCTGGGTTTTCTACAGAAACAAAACCAGTAACACTCATACATATATACGAAACGACCATATAACAAGACACTTTCATCAAGGAAGCAACCCAGCGCAGTCCAACTCAAGTCCATGAGTCAGATACTAGATCAGGGGTTCTCAACCCGTGGGTTGCGACCCCTTTGGGGGTCAAATTGCCCTTTCACAGGAGTTGCTCAATTCATAAGAGTAGCAAAATGGCAGTTACGAAGTGGCAACGAAAATAATGTTATGGTTGGGGTGGTCACCACAACTTGAGGAACTGTATTAAAGGGTCATGGCATTAGGAAGGTTGAGAACCACTGTACTAGATGGAGGCTCTTCTACCCTGTTTCTCCGAAAGTAAGACATGCCCCGAAAATAAGACCTACTTACAGTTTTGCCTCTCGCTGAAATATAAGGCATCCCCCCCACACACACAGATAAGACCTCCCCGAAAATGAGGGTTTGGATTGTTATGATGATGTTCCAGAAGATGATGACATGATTGTCATTGGATAAATGAGTAAATGTACCACAGATTGTTGTACATGGAAATAATGGTAGTAACAAGAAATTCTTGATACTGTAGGATTCAGTTTGTCTGGTTATGCTGGTTTGTGATGACAAATACTACCATACCGTATACAGGTAATACATTTCCTCTTTTTGTTGTTCAACAATAAACGTGTACCGTATTCTTCTTCATGGAAAAATAAGACAACCCTTGAAAATAAGACCTAGTGCATCTTTGGGAGCAAAAATTAATATAAGACACTATCTTATTTTTGGGGAAATGTGGAAAATTTACAGTCTATGAAGCAGAAAGGTAGAGTAAGAAGCTGTAAATCACAGGCCTGTGAGTACAGTTATATAGATCCACAGTTGGTAAGCTGCCAATAGCTCCCAGTCAGCAGGTCACGTGGGCTTCAGCCCCAAGATTCAATGAAGCAGGAATAATATGGGCAAGAGAAAGAGGCCAGCTCTCTACAGTGATTCATAAAGAGCCCATACCCTCAATGAGACATCATTAGGCTATCTCCTGATCGAAATGTTGGATTCCACCCATACCTGCCCACAGGTGTTAACAAGTTGACACAAAACCTAACTATCATACCTAGACACTCCTGGTTAGGGATGGAGTCAAACTTGTCAATCAGGTCACAGCCTGATGCTATGTTCTTGGGGATGTGGACTTTCTCATAAGGAGAGCCCTCCTTACTCTGCCACTCTGCCTTCCTGCTTTCTGGGACTCTGGTGACCAACCCGAGAGTTGCTGGTCTACCCATGTTTCCATCGACCTTGGATCCACAGGACTTTGGACCACTGTCCTGTGATCTTCCTGCATTCTGTGTGATTGAATGTTGGTGGTGTGAGTCTGAAGGACTTATGGATTAATATTGGGCTTCTGGGCTTAAGTTGGACTGGGCTGAGATGCTTTCCTGATATGTAATTACTTCTTGACATGAGCTTTCTTATAAATATATGAATGTCACTGGATTTGTTTATCTAGTCAACCCATCCTAATACAACAGGTATGTCAACTATTTCAACAAAACATACTAAAACATTTTAAGAAACAAAATCTCAAAGACACATTTATGTAAGAAAAAATATTATAAAGGCAGTGTCTCAAAACAGTGAGAAAGGGCATTATTGTTAGGTGCCAACAAATAAGCACAGATTCAGAGTAAGCCTATGTGCAATAAAATGATATACTGCTCAGTTGTGCACCATTTTAACAACTGTAATGCTGTGAGCCCATTGTTGCAGCCAGTGTCAATCTATCTCATTGGGGGGTGGGGGGTGTCAACTTCTTTTTCAGTGACTTTCTATTTAACTAGGCATGTCATTCTCCTGGACTGGCCTATATTAATAGTCCAATGAGATGATGAGATGAAATCTTCCATCCTCACTTCTAAGAAGCAGTCTGGGTATACTTCTAAGACATTTTTTTTTTCTTCTGAAGACCCTATTACTTTCAATATTCTTCTCCAAAACCATAAATTTCTTGTTCAGTTTTCCCTACTCACTGTTTAGCATTTACATGCATATGAGTGTGAATGAAATACCATAGCTAGAGTCAGGCATATCGTTTCTTGATTTTAAGCCATGCTATAGTCTCTTGTTCTGTTAGAATGACAACCTCTGAGTTGATGTACAGGTTCCATTTGAACACAATTAATGCTCTGGTAATGCTCTTCTTCTCAATGTTACCCATAATTTGTTATCCACACAGTCAAGTGCCTTAGCATAGTCAATAAAATACTAGTATTTTCAATGCTTATAGTCAAGATTCATCTGACATTAGCAATGATATCTCTCTTTCCAAAACCTCTTATCAATCTGGCTTGAATTTGTGGTAGCTTCCTGTTGATAAACTGCTGCATCTGTTTTTTAATTATCTTAAGCAAAATTCTACTTAAATGTAATATTGTTATTATTCAATAGTTTCCACATTCTGTTGGGTCACCTTTCATTTGAATGGGCACAGATATGGATCTCTTCCAGACAGTTAGCCAGGTACATGTCTTTTTAATTTCTTGGCATTAACAGGTGATTGCTTTAATTGTTACATCAATTTGTGGAAATGTTTCAATAAGTATTTGTCAACTCCAGGTGTTTTATTTTTTGTTAATTCCTTCATTGTAGCTTGGATGTGCTCCTTCAGTATCACTAGCTCTTATTTAAATGCTACCTCTTGAAGTGGTTAAATGTTGATCAATTCTTTCAGGAACAGTGACTCGTATTCTATTTTAATGCTTTCTAACCATTCAACATTTTGCCCAGAGAATCATTTAGCATTGTAATTCAAAGCTTGAAAATTTTAATTTAGTTCTTTCAGCTTGAAATATGCTATGTTCTTTCCTTTTGGTTTTCTTACACCGTATCTTTATACATTTCATCACAATAACATGTTTTGTCTTCTTGAGCTGTCTAGAAATTTTCTGATCAGCTCTTGACTTCATCATTTTTTTCTTTTACTTTAATTACTCTATATTCAATTATGGATAGTTATATACCAAACACTAAAGTTAGTGATGCAGAAATGATGAATTTTAGTAAAGTCTGAAATTGATTAAACACGCACTTAAGGTGTATTGATAATAAAGCCAACAAAAAATTATTTTTATGGTTTTCTTGATTTGTGGGCCTGTTCATGGAATTACTTGGGGTGCTGATTCAAAAACTTGCATTGGCTAGATTGCAACAGCTCTAGTTTCTTAGATATAATGTCCCACTATATTAAAAAATTATATTATACTAATTTATGAATTTATCATCCTAGCTTTAAACATGGTAAGATTCAGACTCACAAATTACAAGATAATGCAAAAAGGTAAAAATTGTTTGATTAAATATTTGGTATTAAAGAACTTCCAAGAGAAGTTGTGTATGAAGCAATGCTAATTTGTTACCCATTGAACTGCCAATTATAAAGTCAATGGTTCAAACCCAGCAGTCACTTAGCAATCTTTAAAAAAAATTAAATGTTTGGGATCCCATCGTGGCAGTTCTTTGCTGTCCTATGGAGTCACTATAAATTAGAATCTATCGATGACAGCAGGTTATTAACAATTTTTCTATTGGTATGAGAGGCTGTGCAATATATACAGACACTACAAGTTGGGTAGCAAAGGCAGAACACAGCTTGAGAAGAATGGAAAGTAAAAAAGAAAATTGGTAGGGCACATATATAGAAGCTGTGAGAGGAAATTATAGTGTTGAAAATGCAAGATCTCACAGCAATTTTCATATATATTCTGAAGAAATCCATTATTCTTCTTCAAAGTATGCAGTAAACATTCCAGGGCACATTTTAATATATAAGTCAGTGAATAATTCATGTTAAATGTTTCAGAGGTGGGGTTGACTTCAAGC